ATTCCATTGAGATATTTGAACCTCAGTTAAACCAAAGGAGTGTCAGGATGCGAGCTGATGGACGTTTTGGTGAAGATGACTATCTCCTATGGCCGCAACCTTTTTCGATGGACCATGCTTATTTAGCTGCAATTCCATGTCATCCATTGGATCCAGCCGATCCCGGACAGATCTTATGGGACACGCCAACCTCTCTTGACTTTCTCTGCGACTTTTCACAGACAGGCATCAGTCTGGGACATTGGTGGCCAAGCTATTTAGCTCATTACAGACCGTTTGTGGACGAAATTTGTCTGCGCTATGAGGGGTATCTAGCAGCTCATTCTGGCTCTCAGAACAAGCTCGCCATGTCGCTTTTTTTTTGCGCTGAACCAGATAATCGAGCAGCTTGAATCACTTCCTATGACCATATGCTGGTGCCTTATACAACTGGTGCAATTTCAGCATACATATCTCGAGCTCATGGCAGTGCTTGATTGGGTGGAAAAATATCAACCAATGCTGTCCGGAACTGTCGCCACTCCAGAGAACGTGGAAGTCACGCGAACCATGGGTGCCTTCATCTTTGATGACAAGGTGGCGCAAGGATTCTTTAAAGTCGGTTTGCCATTCTGGTGGGTTCATGACCTCAATAAACTCTCTCACATCTGAATTGACTCCGGCATGATGTCCTTTACCCGTCTCGAACAACCAGCGTCACCCAGGAAGATGCTGTACCGCCTTTTCCAGTCATTTTCAAGGGCAGTGTGACCAACCCCTCAAAGGGTTTAGCCATTAGAAAGTTTCTCGAGACATTTCTGCGTGACAAAGATCCCTTTTCAGATTGGAAAAGTTCCATGCCTCTGTCCCAGCCACCTGAGCGAGCCCTTCCGACAGCTTCACAGTCCTCTGCTGCTACAGTCATTGCTGCTCCCTCTCGTCGGTCCCAAAATAAACAAGTCAAGCCAGGTTATTGCCCATGTAAGTCTTTTATTGCTTTAAACACTATTTACTCATGTCAATCTAGATGCTAAGCCCGCTGCGAAGCCAAAACAACCAACTGTTGCACCCCAGCGGAATCCTTTCACTGAACTGGTTGGTCCTTGCATGCCGCCAACAGCGAATATCTGGATATCTGCTGTTGAGCAGATCGACAAGACTCATTCAGCCCCAGGACAGTCTGCGATTGGACAGATCTTTCTGCATCCCGCTCTATTTCTTGGCGTCCAGAGCATTGACAAACACCACAATTTCCTTCAAAACTGGCTGATGTTTCAACAAGCCTTTCTTGCTCGTATTGCAGCCTGCCAATTTTCAGCCATTCACAGTGAGCTGTGGAGATGCATTCTGGGCCTGAGACATGGACAGAAAGCTGAACTCGAGCAAGGAAAGCAGCGGGAAGCTCAGGATGTTGTCAGGGCTTGCTTCGACGAGGCTGGCACAGTGTTCGACTTTGCCGCTGAAGAGCATGAGTTTTCATGGAGAACTCAGTCACATCATCTCATAGATTTGAGTAATGATGAAATCGTGAAGGAGATTTTGTGGGAGCTATATGAACTGAGCTTCCGTCAAGAGCTTCTTGCTCTGGATGGTCAAGCGCGCATCAAGTCCTCCAGTTCCAGCACCAGCACCAGCTACAGCCTCATTCGGCAATGTTTTCCTCTTGATGATGATCTGACTCCTCTCATTTCAGTGTCGTTTGAGAATGCCCGACAAGGCTTGGCATCGGAGACGCTTCGCAATCATGCTAAATATATGATTCAGCTCATGCGGTTAATGCTCGAATGGTCTGGGGGTATGGAGGCTCTGGTGGATTATGCGGAGATTGATGAACCAGAGAAAATGACCAGTGAAGCAGAGGAATTCATTGTGGTCTTCTACGTACAGTCTTTCTTCGACCATTCTTCATCAACTCAACTCGCCATGTCTAATCCCTGGGCCTGGATAAATTACAGAAACACATCGCTTTTTTTTATCGTGTCTATCGTCGGTAGGGCAGACCCAGGGGCGGGTATCCCAGCCGCCAAATACAATTTCTTATTGTTTCCTGATTTGGTGAAATTGCGTGAACAATAGATGCTTTTGGTTGATTTTTCTGTTGGCCTTTGTTGTCTTTTGGTTGATTTTTTGCCAGTGAACGTGACAAAGACAATGGACTTTGGCGTGGACCCTTTTTTTTGAGAGCAGGTGGTGACCGACATTTAACGACTATAAAAGCGGTCCTGGTTTGTTGTCTTTCCTCAGAACACCCCAACTCACCCATAGCATTCTTCTCTCCTCAATTATACAATGTTTTGCACAGATCTATTCATTTTATCTTTCCATTGCTAATATATTTTTAGACCTTGAAGCAGACGAACATCGACATTTGGGCTGAAGCCGCTGCCACCATTGTCTGACTGCATTACTTTGCCCAGCTGCCTTACAATGAGCTCGATGAAGCTGCTGCTTCATTTATGGTATGTCCTTAATTGATGATTCTTTTTTTGGGCTTATTATTTCTTGCTCAGCTGCCACCCAATGAGGCTGCCATTGGTCGTCATTTTTCCAATGCCGCAATTGATGCACGACGTGCTCGTACATGTTGGAATTGGGACTTGACAGTAGCTAGAGCTAATGCGGTATGTCTTGTGCACATTGTGGTTTCTGGTTTATATTAACATGTCATTTTTCTAGGCTATAGCTTCTGTTCCTCAGTCTACCACTGGTCCAGGCATCCATGTATCGGTTGATCCTTATGACAGTGATGACTTGATGCCGGCACTGGCTGATCATTCAGATGTCAATGACGACTTCTATGATTATGACAGCGATGACTCGAGCGATGACAACATGCCACCTTTGCTCAATTACTGGGAATCTGACTCAGGCTATGGTTCTGCGTAATTTCTCTAATTTTTTTTTGATTCTGTACCATCCATGACCCATTATTCATGATTATTCACGAACATTTGTACAAATATTCACAAGTACTTACGAATATCTCATACTCATGAATTACTTGCTATTCACGATTAATTAGATTCACGAGTACAAATTATTTAGTGTACGAATATTCTACAAGTACAAATGTCACATTTCTAACCTTGATATTCGTGGATGACGAGTACGAGTCATTTGCGAATGGTAATCGTGCGAGACTCTATCCATGCTTTTTGTGTTGTCAGCTTGTTTCATTGATTTCCAAGTGAAGTGTGATATTTGAAAGTTTATGCTACTCTATTGAAACTGGAATAAAGACAGGGGGCTCATATCTGCCACCAGACCGGTTGGCCTCTATCCCACTGGTGTTTTTCTGTCTCTGAGAGGTTTGCATTCCACATCAGGCTTATAAACAGCCTCTCCACAGGAGAAGAATCGAGGGGCGGAGGTCTTTCTCGGTAGAGAACTGGCATCACAGCTTTTTCCGGTGGCTGGGTGCCAAGGTATCATTCAGTCTCAAATGTCAGTATTATTTACAGCTAATTGCAGAACATAAGGCATGGCATCAATTTAAATACAAATTTGATGCTAAGGAAGAATAAATCATAGCAAGCCCATTTCTCATTGGAATGGGCTTCAAATAAGCTTCAAATTTTTCTTTTTCTTTGTTTTAAATCATGGGATAGATAGCCCACTGGATCTGAGCAGTTTTAGTCATGCCATAGGTAGCAAATACAATTTTAGTGATTTTGGACCTTTCAATGTGTTGGAGCTCATTAGCAATATTTTAAATGCCCCAAACTACTTTAAACATTGATATGCTAAATCCACAATGATGAATTGTAGATCTATAGAGAGGAGTCTTACTGATTCCTTGCTCTAAATCCTTTACACAAGATAGAAAGTAAAATAGATTTTTGTACAACTGAGTAAAACACTTGATTATCCAAAGGTAATGGGACTGTCCTTATGCTCTTGATTGAGCTCTGTGCTGTCCAATATGAAGTGAAAACTAGATATGAGATGTCCTACTTCTTTACAAACTGCCACTATTTATACTAATTCTACAAACATCCTCATGATTCATTAATAAAATAAGGTGAGGGTCTGTATTTCTCTTTTCCTGTTTTCTATTTGCTAATACAATAGCTTGTGAGTCCATTCTTGAAGTCCATGTGCCTTCCTTGAGAGTCTGTGCATCTCTTCTTTCTTACTTCTGGCTTTCTGTACCAGCTTGTGATCTCTTTCGCTTCTTTTTCCCTTGTATTCTGCATGTCTCTTCACTTCTTGTGCCGTTCTCATGTTACTCTTCACTTCTTATCTCTCTTGGCATGTCCTTTACTTTACTTCTCACAATATTCAGTTTTGTTGATTCACTGTGCTCATGTGTCCTTTATCTGCTGGTATCTCACTTGTATTGTCTGTGTGTTTCTCGTTGGTGCCACTCTGACTTCTTTCTCTCTTTCTCTCTAATTGTTGTACTCTGATTTTCCTTTGTATAGTGTTGGATAGCTTCGTATAGCACTTTCAAGCTTCATATAGTTTCAAATAATCTCCAATGTCGTTATTCATTCATGACAGATGACCTTCTACCACTTGGTCCTTCTTTGCATTGATCACCTCTTCCTAGTCCTCCTAGACAAAGGAATTACTTTCCCAAACTCCTGAATTGTAGTGATTTGGTACTCAACCATGCTGGATAAGCCAGTACAGTATTTGACCACTGAGTTGAACACCCAAATTGTATTCTGGGCTACAGATTGGCCTCAGCAATGGAATACAATCTAGAAGTTTGTAGAAAGCCTGGGGCATGTCCTGTCCATGTCTGTACCAGGTTTGGTAGGAATCGTCCCAGACATCATGGAGATATTCAGTAATTACAGGTGTTCATGTGAGTGATATCTGAGTTTGGAATATTTTCACATATATTGACAGTGCCATATCTCCGCTATTTCTTGACAGATTTGTATAAAAATTGAACATACTTTTCTGTCTTCATATTCACCATTTTCTGGATATTTATTCCATAATTAATTCCCATGGTGTGCCCTGTTTCTAGAGTGTTCAACTGAGTGATCATGTTCAACTGACTGGTCAAATACTGTATGGCTCAGTTGGTAGAGCACCTCAGCACACTGTCACTGTTCAGCATGGTCATGGGTTCGATCCCTCCAGTGGCCTGATCAGATATCCTTCTTTCTCTTTTTACCAAAGTGCCTCTTGAACTTGAGTGTCGCTATCCGCTTATGATACACTACTCTAGTGTATCAACATATATATAAACATCATAGAAAATTCCAGAATAGATAATTGTATTTACTCCCCATGGCATGACTAAAACTGCTCATATCCAGTGGGCTATCTATCTGATTTACAGCGCTTTTCATAATTATGCAGAATCCAAAGTTTTTTTTCAAGGGTGGCTGTGCTATGAGTCATCTTAGTCAGCGCTTCCCGGCCACATCATCATCATCATCGCCGCTGAGAGCGGCATTGAGCACCCAGTTCAACAAGAAAACATTATATTTCACTGTGTTTGAGCATTTATAATAGATAGCGCCATTATTTGAGGGTAGAAACTGAGGCATTCATGTCATATGCAAGGAATATGGTATGACACAGTGACACAGTGAGCATAGCTGCAGCATCATCCTTGGGGGATATTTGGCTCATGCAGCTCAGTATTTAGCAATAGGAATGGGAATTATGATGGTTATACTGTGGTTGGCCCCATAAAAGCCAATGAGCAGAGCAAACTGTAAAGGAACAATTTTGACACACCTAGATCGACTCCATTGTCCACAAATTCTGCTCAAAAGCCTGTCAGAGAGCCATAAGGCCTTCCTGGTCCCATTCAGGCCAAAAAACATGCATTTGTTTGGCTGAGCACAAAGGAGCCTGGAAGAAGAGCAAAAGAGCCAATAGCCCCATTATCAGGTTCTGGGCTGGTGAAAAAAGAGGGGAAAGGTGGCATCATTGTCTTTGAATAGCATGGAAAGGTCCTGTCTGAAGATCTTGAGCTTTTGGGCGCTCAATGTCACTCTCAGCAGTGACGATGACGATGATGTGGTCGGGAAGCACTGACTAAGATGACTCATAGCACAGCCACCCTTGAAAAAAAAAACTTTGGATTCCACATAATTATGAAGCGCTGTAAAACAACGAAAAAGAAAAATTTGAAGCTTATTTGAAGCCCAATCCAATAAGAAGTGAGCTTGCTATGATTTATTCTTTCTTAGCATCAAATTTGTGTTCAAATTGATGCCATGCCTTATGTTTCGCAATTAGCTGTAAACTAAATATAATCTATAATCTATTGGAGGTATAAAATCACATAGCAAGGTTATGATATCACTTCAACCAATGAATTTTCTTGGTGGTCGGTACAGCAGAAACACTATGTTTCTGACCTGCTTGCATACTGAAGACTCTTCTTTCATTTTGTGCTTTTTGCGATGAGAAGTGATCTGCTTCTGATCCACTGAGTTCTCCAGTCCATCATTCTTACTGTCATTCAGCGCCACACAGGTGTCAAGAATCAAACTCAATATGTACATTTCAAGGTCCGAGCAAGGTATAAGAGCACAGTGGTCAAGTACCTTTGCTCTTGCAACCTAATTAGCCTTAATGTGCTCTGTGCAAAGTTCATCCTCGTTGCTTTCTCCACCTTTATCGCTGTCTCAGCCGCTCCCAGAGCAGGCGCTCTATGGCATCAAAGTGAAGTATATGCTTTATCTTTCCTGTTTTCTTCATCACTCAGCTCACGAATTATGATTCCAACTTGTTCAGCTCATTTGTTGAACAGAGCAAAATTGTGGCCACGATCATCAAAGTCGTATATAGGGATATTCACATGCTTCCATCTTTCCATGCACCGTCTGTCTTTCATCGCTTACTTTCGGCGTCTTGACTCACTCAGAGTCTTCCTTGGAGCCCAGCATCACATGTTTCCATCATTTCCATGCACCATCTGTCTTTCATCACTTACTTTCGGTGTCTTCCTTGGTGCCCAGCATCACATTCCTTGTCAGTAATACTACTCTGTGAAGTCTCCAGTCTGTCTGTGACTTATTAGATATTTTACATAGCTTATAATTTTTATTGTTTTTTCTGCACATGTAGCAAAAGAATTATTATTTGCTACTTTGTGCTACTTTGGAGCTGGATGACAGTACAATTTGCCTGATACTTGACCCACAGTTTGAGGAGGTACCCAGCAGAAATTTTGACATTGTTTGCTGGCAAGAAGAATAGATCAGCTAGGCTGGATTCCTAGATTATGTTGCTGTCCCTTGAACATGTAATTTTTGTGTTCCCTGTTGTACTGGCCTTTTTACTGCTCTGTATGAAGATTTGATCACAAAAGAGGGCTCATACATGCCACCGGTAGGTCGGCCTCTATCCCACTGGTCTCAATAGGGAGACACTCCAAGAGGAGGTTGGTATGACTAGAGTTCAAGGCATTGCAGGGACTTAACACTTCAGTGACTTGACAAGCTCAATCGGCTGCTCACCTGTCTAATTGAGTTTGCTGATTTGAATTACAGCTGTTTGCATAAAGGATGAGACTCCCAGAGAATAAAAATAAAAGAGAAGAAAAATAAATTAAAATAAAAAGTGCTAGAATTGGTCTAAATTACACTTGTATCATTATTCTGTTATTTAAAACAGCTCAGGCAAAGCTCAGGGCTCAAATTACAGGTGAAAAGGGACTTGGGATTCAGAATGACGCATTGTCACAAATGTCACATGCCGCGCAGATTTTGACCTCCATTGATTCCCTTCCACTTCTTCATTAATGGCACCTTCCCAGCAAGCCTCTACCAGATCCACCCAATTCAGTGACCTTTCTGATCCCAGTGACTCTGACAGTGATGATCTGCCTTTAGATCCTGCAGATGAGGCTTATACTGCATGACAGGCAGAGAAAAGGTGCAAACAAGGCCACCATTGACCATCGACAATGAGGATGATGAAGAGGATGAACTTGATGAAGAGGAACCCAGTGATGAGGGGGATATGGTCCCAGCAAAATGCAGCCATGGCAGACCTCAGGGAACTGGTGCCAAATGGACAAAGCCCAACAAACCTGAAGGTGCGTTCCAATCTATGGCATTTGTTTATTCTAAGCTTGTTCTACAGTCCCTCAGGAGTGCTCCATCACAGTCTATGTACAGATTTTCACGCCAGAGCAGATGAAAAAACGGAAGCCAGGCAAAGCTTCTCTGAACAACTTTTTCATGCTCGCCTCTTCAGAAGAATGGGACTCCTTCACAGCCAATCATTCTGGACCAAACAAAATACCCTCATCTTCTAGAGACCGCACTGAAAGCCAAGAAGGACTGTAAAGTAAACCTGACCGTTGACCCAGCAATCACCCTTGTGAGTTAGCATGCTTCGCTACAATGAACTTCATCTGATCTGACGCTTTCCTCGCCCTTGAGACTCTCAACAAACCAGACAAGGAGAACGAGAGACCTGGATCACAGACTAATGCAGAAGCAGATAGCGAAGGAGAGGCAGGGCAAGGCAAGAAGAAGTCGAAAGGGAAATCCAAAGTGGGTCACTGGCTGTCCTCATGCAATGGCTTAGCTGATTTCTCTGCAGCTTCCGAAAGTCAATGCCATTTTGCCTGGCAATAAAGCAATGAATGACACCATAGGAATGTTGTGTGAGCATTGGAAATGTCCGACAGAGGGCAAGGGACCATGCAAATCCGAATATTGTTTCATACCTGCCGAAGGACAAGACCATTTCCCCCTCAATCTTACCTGGACAGAGAATTGGAGTGCAGCAATTGTGAGCAATTCTTGAAGTTGATGAGCACATCTTACACATCTCATTTAGCTCAAGGGGCCAAATTATGCCACCGTTGATTGCCCAACAAACAATGCAACCTTTGACGACCTATATTTGCCAGCAAGACAGGGTCCTTCCATACTTCAACAATGTATTTCAGCTCAACGCGCCCAGCCAGCACCATCTTCTGCACCAATTATCAACAATCACCTGAATTTTCCTCCAGAGCTTTTGGCTGCCCTTCATGGACGACCAGTCATCACTGCTACAGAACATGTTCCTTCTACTGCTATGCTCCTTCCTCGAACCTTCACTGCTGGCCTGAAAATGTCCATTTCCGACTTTTGTGCATCCTACTGCCCGGACAACCCAAATGTCCTCTCCTGTCTAGCCAAAGATAATTTCACCACTACTGCGGCCCTTCAACAAATAGAATTGTTCCAATTGCGGGAAATGGGACTCAAGGCAGGCGATGTAGCAGCTCTCCAGGATGCTGTGGAAGAATGGGCTGAAAAGGACTCTTAGATTATTGCCGCTCTTTTATCGACAAACATGCAACTTTATGCTATCATTATTGTGTCATTGTTGCTCTATTCTGTTTCAGAATCAATCATATGTACCCAGCATGATGAAAATACCCTTGCACATCATCAGGACTTATCACATCGAAGACTTCCAGCATATCATAGAACAGGCCTGCATCAGCCTTGAGTGAGAGAAAGATGTCGTTATTTCGATGGATGAAATGTTTGATCTTGGAAAAGGCTTCTTCAATAGGATTGAGGTCTGGTGAGTATGGAGGGAGATACTGGATTCTGATGCCTGAAACCTTGTCAGAGTGGCAAGAGATTTGTTATAGAACATACCAAAGCGATCAGCCAGATCAAGAATCTCCTCTCCATGATGAATCTTCACATTATCCATTACTAGTATGCTTAGTGGACCAGGAAATGGGGAACACAAAGGCAACTGGATAGCATTAGATTATGATGGTATATAGAGAAATGATGACGCACCACTTGATGCTCTAGCCATTGAAGAAATCCTTCTCGCTTCAATGAGCCTTCAACCACAGTCTTGGTGACAATACCATTGATGGTAAGCAAACCCTCCACACTGACCCGTCTTCCTCTGACCAGCCTCTGCTTCATCTTGGCTCACTTCCCTTTCTTGGACCTTCCATATATGTGAGCAGGAGTTGTGTCATTCTTTGACATCTCATCAAGAAAGCCAATTTGGTGAGCGCTGTACTGAGCCATTTGTCGAATATAGTCATTCCGCAAATCTTCATTCCTCTCCAAGGCAATGACCTTCAACCTCTTCCTAGAGACATTGCAACGTTCCAGAGTGCGATAGATGGCTGTATAGTGGACTGAAAT